CGACTGGTCGTCTTCTCGACTGCTAAAACCGAGTAATTTCAGCAGTGGCTAAAAAGCTGACAGTTGTCAAAATAACAGCTAACTAACATAATAGCACTGTTGGCGCATATGGAATACAGTTCAGAGGGCACAGTTATAATGACATGAATAACAACAAACATTGTACAGAGTAAGCCAAAGATACCGGTAACAAGTGAACCTAAGAAAAATTTGTACTTTACACTAAATTATAATATTTATATAACATACGATATATAATAAACGAGAACAACTACTGACTATATTTGCAAATTCGATCATTCAGGTTCATTGCTGATGGCATCGTCACGTAAGATTAACTTCGGCTGAAACAGCTGTGCAAAGAATACATGTACCGGTCAGAACGAGATCCTGACCAACGCGATCTGATTGGCCAACGCTTAACGACTTAAGGGAAAACTAGCTGAATAGACAGGCATACCCGAAATTGCGAACCCACTATTTGTGTGCATAACACTGCAAAGTGCTGACTGCTAACGCTTAAGCATTTCATCAAACTAGAAAGTAGTTGTAAGTCCTGTGCGTAATCGGCTACTCTTATAACTTGAAAGAACAAGGCCATGAAAATAGATGTATGAAGTAATGATTTGTAATGAACTAACTCATCTATGGTGGAAGGGCACTAAACACGGGTGATAGTACAACTTTTATTGAAGATGTGTTTCGCTATACACCCCTAAAACAGCATAATGGCAAGATATTCAGTAGTTCAAGAAAACACTGATTAAACAAATTGACATTCTGTATTCTCGGCACGTTCTTGAAACTGTAGCAATGTGCTGATTCATGACTAACGGCTCCAAAAAAGATGTCAGAACGGTTACCTTCAATATGATTTTGTTACCACAACAGTAAACGCCTATGTTGTGCCCTGATGAAGCAAATGATGAAGCAACGAAATGCGCAAAGCAATAGAAACTACAGTATCGGCTTTGTTTTGCCTGATCAACCGCTAATCAGCAAATTCGCTACAGCTATAACACCGGCCAAGGATCAAAAACGGCAAATACTAAATTAGTGAATGTACGGATGGATGGATGAGTTACTAAATTTTATAAGCGTATAAATGAATGATCTGTGAACTAACGAACGAATGATAGGTTGGTCTCCCTTGTAATTACTGACTGAGCGTCGTCTGTGGTACCCATTTTGATGAAGCGTATGATACGACGCTAATGTGTCTCATCTTAACCATATAGAAGCGTGTTACCGGCCTTTTAGATTATAGCTATAACTCTGCGACTACTGTACCGTATACTCGACTATCTTTTTAAACAAAGAAGTACACATTTATCAACGTCGAAAGGATGACAGGCGAGTGATCTGGCCGAGATTTAAACCTGGAGCTCTCAGTTCTGAGTCAGATGATTTATTAACGACCCACCCTAGCTTATCAATGGAAGAATAGACGTGTGAACAAATATGTGACTGAACATATTTGAATGGACAAATGAATGGACTGTAAGGCAAAGTGAATGAGTGAATATGTGTAAGTACAGAGAGTAAATAAATGAATCAAGGAATGAACGAACGGGAAACAATGAATGAATGAAAGCGCCAATAAATGAAGCAAAAAATGAACGAAAGAAGGAATAGGGGAACGTAACGAATCAGTCAATCAATTAATGAACGAGTGAACGCACGAATGAATGAAGCAGTGAGAAAATATGAAAGCACGAATGAACGAATATAAAGATAAATGGGTGAATTCTGCGATGAAAAATGAACGAATCGACGAACACCTCAAGCGAATTTTGGATGACAGACAGAAAGCTTCAGAGAAAACGCTGAAACATCTGCTTACCGGATCAATGAACGCGAGGAATCGAAGTGTGTGTAGGTGACGTGGGCGGAATTAAAGAGGTTGAGGAAGTTGATCAGTTCGGCGTGACTGCAATGGTCGCTATAAGGCACGTAGAAAACATTAGGCGAAGAAAGCATATCTCGCAGAAACTGCTTTTTCTCCGCCAAGGCGGTAAGGATGAGCATAAGCAGGGAATCGGAGGCGGTAACCAATCCAGAGCATGAGTTGTACAAAGAACGGGCAGACTTCAGGTCAAGAACGCGGATGCGAGCCTCGCTCTCCTCCAGAGTGAATACATCTGGAATGCCAGTCAGGCGAGCGATGTTCATCCGCTCCCTTGAAACCAGGATACGTTCGCCGAGGCTATTGGCGATCGCGACCAATAGCTCCTCCTTGCCCAGCTTCGTCTGAGGCATCACCAAGTAAATGTATTTGGCCGGACGATAGCGAAGGATATCTAGGGACATGCGTTGCGCTTCCTCCCGCGTGGGAAACTCATTCATTTGTTGTTCTTCGGATGACGATGATGAGTCTGGCTTGAGGTAGCAGCAGTCGACAAAGATTTCTTTGACTGGCAGAGAGATCCAAGACTCGGGTACACATGAACAAGATTCGAACCGAAAATCACCCGTAACTATCACTCGACCGAAAGCACCATCGAAGCGAAACATCACCGAACCCGGACAGTGATTGGCATCGGTCAGTGTCACCGTCGTCATGACGTCGCCCGGTTCATTGTCATCCGAAGTCATGACGTGAGCCACATCCAACTCCAGGGGACAAACGACGCTGTTGTCCAACTGGAACATGTAGGTGATGAGTTTCGCCGTCACTCTTGAACAATATATTGGATACTTCCAGCGCTTGCTAAGACCCGTGGTGTGGTCTGAATGGGCATGTGTCAAAAAGAACAGCACCGGTCGTTTCTTTTCGGCTAATTGCCGGCTGAAGTAATCCACGCATATCGTCGTGCCACCTGCATCGAAAATCGGCAGTCGTTTGTAACTGGAAGTCATTGACTAAAGTCAAGTAGAAGTCAGAGAGATGATGGCATTAAAAGCAAAAACACGATATCTTTCCAAGCGCTGGAAAACACACGGAAGAAATTGCCTAGATGCATGACTCTATGAGTGGCATACTGAGAAACAATCGAATCTAATTTATATAAATAGGCTAGAAGTTAGTTAATAATAATTTCTCGAGAAATTCAGAGGAAAACTGTTCACGAACAGGAAATCTTCCGATTCTATGATTAGAGTCAACAAATGTCACTCGCATAAACATCATACTTCTGTACTAGTACTGTTGCTAACAAAATGAAGAGGTATTCCATAGAAGTCTTAACCTCTGTGAATGGAAATCATTCTACATGATGTCGACTATAAGACTAGCGCTCAGGCCGATATTGCTCTTCTGGTTGAAAGGAAGCCTGTTAGCAGAAGAGTGCCAATCCTCTGACTGAGATTACAACAGGCTAGAGCTCTGACTATATAACAGGTTAAGGCGCCCAGTCTGGAGGGAAAAAATGAGTCCTTCCTTGAGGAAGTTGAGCAACCCTGTACGAAATGCCGACGACGCAATCCTCATTATAATAAGCAATTTTAATGCGCATACCGGAGCATACACTGAAAAGTGAAAAGGCATGGTTGAAAAATTGGTATTGTTCGCTTGCTAGACATAAATATCTTCAAGCAGTCATATGTACTCAGTCCAGACCTGATGGCTCTGATGATGCTGCGGTCTGTGCAGTGAAACTCGTCGGCATTAAACTGTTTACCATCTGCGTATTTTGCCTCCCGAACCATGAATCATTGACCATGAACCATGAATCAAACAACTATGTATAAAGTTTTATACAGTGTCACTTTTCAGAATAGAACAAGATTATAAATCTCCTCACTTTTCTCAATGAAAATGGCCTTGGGCGTGACACAGACACTCATATACAAAATCTAGCAGCTGACATGTTCATCTTCCATCGCCGTTTCTCCTTTGGGGTCGTGGAGGCAAACGCGTCAGACAGAGCTTCCAACGTTCCCGATCCAATGCCAGAGTCTGAGCTTCGGCAGAAGACAACTGGAGTCTGGAAGAGACAGCTTCCATACACGACAGCTGACATTATTTCCATTAAATAATTAAACACAATTTTGGTGAAATAATGATAAGTATTTGATCGATTCATGGTTCAGAGTACCAAACACTGCAGATGAAAAGCAGTTTACTGCCGACGCTTTTCGCTGCATGGACCACAGCATCATCAAGACTAGGCAAAGTACAAATTAATGCTTGAAGCACATGTCCAACAAGGGAACAACACGTTACAACCAAAATGTTGTTAAACCCAACGACCAGTGCTAACCAACAAACCAGTGTAAAGTTCTCACTGAAATGATCTTAACAATTTTGAAATCGTACCCAGCTTTCGCTAATAACCACAAAAGATGTGTATTCATTGCTCATGCGGTTTTTCATTATCAGTATATCTAAGGACCTCTTTACCAGGACGCCTAATTTAGATTGATCTTTGTATATTACAGACACATTCGCCTGACTGAAAAAACGCTCTTCAGTAATCACATGCTCGGCAATACCAAAATTGTCAGAATGTTAAAAGCGGATTGCAGCAAGGTGCTCTTTTATGCTGATGTTCAATTTTCAGTTGGTCTTTATAATGTACACTTTGTTGCAG